AGGGTTTGGGGTTTAGGGTTTTGGGGTTTGGGTTTAGGGTGTGGGGTTTAGGGTTTAGGGGTTTAGGGTTCAGGGGTTTAGGGTTTGGGGTTTCGGGTTTTGGGGTTTGGGTTTCGGTTTGGGGGTTTAGGGTTTAGGGCCTCCTTGTACCCTCAAATACGGCTATATACAGTCCCTAATAGTAGGCATTTAGGGGTCGAATTAGGGGGTAGAAGGAGGGCCTAGGCATGTATTACACTTCTGGAATATTGGTCCCCCAAAACCATTGTCAGGATGGTCCTTTGGGGCCTAATTCCAGAATTGTAGTATATATGGACCCTCTGGGTAAGGGTACTCTTTGAGGGTGTGGGACTTTGGGTTTGGGGTTTAGGTTTTGGGGTTTAGGGTTTGGGGTTTGGGGTTGAGGGTTCAAAGGGTTTGGGCTACCCATAGGCCCCATAGTAGTTCCTTTTTGTGGCTTATATTTAGGATTCCATTAGGAATCCCCAAAAGGAACTATTATGGGCCTATGGGTAGAAGTAAGACACAGACATCGTTCAGGTTGGAAAGCCTTTCCGTGCAGTAGCCGGGATGGCAGTCGGAAACCGGATGCTCGTTCTAGGATTGCTGTAGGGCTTTGGGGATCTAAGAACTAGGGTTTAGGGGATGCAACAGCTTCAGAAGAGTGCTCGGGAGGAGATATGCTGCAACGTCCTCCGACACGCAGCCAGCTTCTCCAAGTTTTTGTTCGGATTTCAAATGAATCTCTAAACCCTAAACCCTAAGCCCCAAACTCTCCCCAAACCCTAAACCGTTTTGTCCAAGATCTGGGGGTTTCTGGGTTTAGGGTTGCTTGCGGTCTTTGTGGTTCTTGCTTCCTCTTAGATGCTTGAATGGCGGAGTAAGGGACCCTCTGTTGAGGGCTTAGCGTGTTAAGCGTTTTGGGTTAGGGTTCAGGGTTTTGGGGTTTGGGAGTAGGGGGCTTTCGACTTCGATTCAGCGGAAGCAAGGACGTTTGCATGGGAGAGCGCCACGGCAGGAATACACCTTCCTCGTGCATGCAGAGTCGACAGGCCTCCGCGAGGAGTTTGTGCCATCTTTTGGGGCGATGGGTTGCGCTGCACATGCAAAAGCCTTCTACAAGCAACATTCCCAGACTCCAATATCCCTTAATTAAGGAATATACCTTAAATTATAGTAGGATCCTCAATATGATTTAAGATATATCCCTTAATTAAGGGATATGGGAGTCTCTGGGTTTATGCTGCATTCATCCCCTCCCCATATGATCGTAAACCCGAAGCGACACGAGTGAACCAAGCATGAAAAGCCTAGCTGCTTGACGCAGTATGCATTACAGGCGAGTCCTGTTGTGAAGTAGCACGTACACTTCAATCCAAGACATGGCAGGCCCTATAACTCCCGAGTCAAGAGCAAAGTTGCAAGCACGAAATAAGAACATGATTTTGCATTACCCTAAACCCTAAACCCTAAACCCTAAACCCTAAACCCTAAACCCTAATCCAACCCTAAATTATGCTGTGGAAAGGAGCTGGTTGGAGCCAACACAGCCTTGCGGGCAGAGATTGCAAGCAGCCAGGAGAAGCAGCTGAGTGGCTCTGCCAGGCTTAGGGTTTAGGGTTTAGGGTTTAGGGTTTAGGGTTTAGGGTTCAAGTTTAGGTTTCGAGCTTCTGGTTTCTCAGTTTTGAGATAGCTAGACCTCTACACGTAGCACTGTTTTTGGTGACCTCCAGTTGATGGAAAGCGAGAAGACGAGATGCTCTATACATCCCGCAGACGAGGGCGATGAAGGCGATGTTCAATGAGAAACTGCCGCTTAAAGCATATGCCCTAAGGGTCCAACTACCTAATAATCATATACTCTCCCACATATTGACCTGGCTAGCTACTATCCGCAACCAAACTACCTTATCATTTAGTCCTTTAGACCCCTAAAAATACAGGACTCCCATACTCCCATCAGCTGCGTCTGAAAGCCATGGCCGTGCTTTCAGGCTAGGTTTAGGGTTTAGGGTTTAGGGTTTAGAATGTTGGCCCATGTTGTGCATGCTTATGAAGCAGCCGGCCTGGTAGTCGCCAAAGGTATGGGTAGTTCTCCCAACATAGTACGGCACCCTTATAAAAGCAGCGTAAAAGGGACCCTGATTTAGAGAACTTCCCATATTTAAGTTAACACCCTTGTGCAATGAAATCATATACAAAACTCCCATCGCTGGGGGCGTTAGCCCTACGAGAAATCACCCAGCGCGTGCGAGAGGCGGGGAAGCCCTATAAACCCTAAAAGACAGAACCGTAAACCCTAAGATGCTGAAATGTTGCGCGCTGCCTGCTGATTTAGAAACTACCTTGGCCATACGTTTTCTTATCAAGTCAACTTCTCACAGAATGGGATCGCCGTTTGTTTTGAGCCATAAAAAACCTTGGTTGAACTTTACAGTCACTTTATAGCTTTATCATTTTTAGGATTAGCCTTTTTGATATTAGGGGTACTAAAAGTTAGAATTTTAGCCAGGTAATAAAGAGCAACCCAGAAACCCACATCGTGTGGGTTCCTGATAGTCGGATAGTGGACCCTTCTGTTTGTTTCAAAAGGCAGCTTTTCGGGGTGTTAAACCGGTAAAGTCGACGCTTGATTCTCAGGCCTGTTTCCATGCGAAATTATCTAAAACCGTCGTGCCCCCAATCTAGACCCAGGGTAGTACGATCCTTCCAAGACGAGCCGTTCAGGCGGCACCCCTGTAATTCTCTGAGCCCCCACATGCATCATGATGTCGGAGAGGCCCGAACCAAGACACAACTACATCGCAGAGCAAAGAATCTCCATCCGAATCCCAAACCCGGACCTTCAGTGCTCACCCCTTGAGTCATAGCCTCCAACCGAGCCTCATTGCACATGCATGGATGGAGAGAGAGGGAGAGCGAGAGCAGGAGAGATAGAGACACACACACACACACACTCGCGTGTTGAACCATAACCCTAAGGCTCAAAGTGGCCCGAAAGCCTTACATGGTATGGTCTTTGGGCCCAAAGCCTTAAAGTATGCGTCCTCAGAGCCTTAGGGTAAAGTCACAGGCTTCTCATTCTCCCACAGCTGCATGTTACGCCGAGAACCGGCGAAGCATGCAGACCCTCTGTTGATCCCTGAAAAGGAAAACACCCCTCCATAGGGCTCAAAGTACCTAATAACCACAGGGGTAGTTCTCTAAACTAGGGCCTTTTTGGGTTTCCTTAATAGTGCGGCACCCATTTAGAGAACTGCCCATATACACTTATTATCCGATATCCGAAACCTAAGTACCTAATTCTTGGGTCCTTTGGACCCTTTAAACCAATCTATCACCTCTCATGAAACTTATGAACCCTAGCTCCCCCCTTTGGAACCCGTAGACGAGCCCCTTAACTCATTAGCTATTGGGTCAGTTGAGCCCTCTTTTTCCTCTAACGTTGCCACATCCGAGGTGATAGTCGCGAAGCCTTGAAAGCCGCGGAAGCCGATCTGAAGGCTTGCGGTTCAGGGGTCTCATAGGGTTTAAAAGTTTAGGGTTTGGTTAGAGCTTAATTCGGGTTCTGAGTTTAAGGTTTAGGGTGTAGGGTTTGTTTAGGGCTTAATTGGGGTTCCGGGGTGAAGATTTAGAATTTAAGGTTTAGGGAAGGCTTGCAATCTAGGGTTAGGGACTTCCGTTTGAGGATCAAGGGGATGTTCCCCTGACCGAGGATCCTTCAGAGGATTTTAAGGCTTATATGTCCCGGCTTCATGATTTTTTCCCTAGACCATACCCATAGGCCCCATAGTAGTTCCTTTTTGCGGCTTATATTTAGGATTCTATTAGGGAATCCCAAAAAGGAACTACTATGGGGCCTATGGGTAAACCCTAAACCCTTAACTATTTTGGTTCGCGGGGTTGAGGGTGGTCGGGCTTGGGGGTTCAGAGCCTAGAAGACAAGTGTTGGGCAGCAGACTGTGTCTAACATAATTGCGTGACTAGCTGGAAATTGAATTCCTTAAGGTTTAGGGTTTAAAGGTGGATAGGTCTCGAATAACCGAAACAACTCTACACCCTAAGTCCAGAGCTCATATAGCATCCGTACCCTAAACCCTAAACCCTAAACCCTAAACCCTAAACCCTAAACCCTAAACCAAAGGAGCCCTTCAAGAATCATCGGGCGTCCCAGGAGCTCAAAGCCACCTTTGCCGCCGCGGCGGCGCGAAGCGAGGACGAGAAAGCCGCACAGGCACATGGTTGTTTATTGACTTCTTTTGATTCAAAGGTAAGGGTTTAGGGTTTAGGGTTTAGGGTTTAAGGGCTCTGTAGGTATCAGGGCTTGAGTGAGTTTGTAGGATATAGCTGTAGCGCGGCTGGATAGTGGGCCATGCCCCCTTGTTCATGCGCTATGACCCCCGAAGGTGGCCGCTACTTGGAGCCACAGGGTAGCCTTCGAGACTTAAAGACTTTAGGTTTAGGGTTTTAGGGTTTTACGGTTTAGGGTTTAGGGTTTAGGGTTTTAGGGTTTTAGGGTTTACGGTTTTGGGTCTTGGGTTGAGGCAGAACAGCGTTTGGATACAGAGCTTGTGTGGAGTTCAACTGTGATTCGCAAGCCCTCAAGTTTAAACCCTATTTCGTGCTAAACCCTAAACCCCAAAGACTCTACCTTTGGGGCTTTCCTTATAATGCTTTCCTTATTTAAGTCCTTAACAAAGTAGGTTATTTAGGGTCCGGCTATACCCTGAACCCTATATATTTCGTGACCCGAACCGTGGAATAATGGAACTAGGTTGTCACGCGAAAGTGAAAGGTAGGGAAAGTCACAGTCAAACGCCCCAGCTGAAGACTGTCATCCTCGCAAGCACGAAAGGCCTCGCGAACGCCTGGCCCCGCCATACTGCCAACCTATATCTTTCTGAACCCTAAACCCGACACCCATCCTTCTTATTATCGCATAAGTATACTAGGCTCTGAATACCTAGTCACATACCCTCCCAAATACTAGCCTACAAAATTAGGATCCAAAACCCAAGTACCCAATTACTAGGTCCTTTGGACCCTTAAAAGAACCCCTTCTAAATCCTGCTGCCCCTCTATAATCAAGACCGTGTAAACTCCCCCAGAGGGTCCGAGTACGCAAATAGTAAGGTTTTAGGTCCCGAAAACCATACTCTGAATGGTTTTTGGACCTTGAAACCCTACTATTTGGGTGCTTGGACCCTTAGGGTCCCATAGCTCCCTCATGGAACCTCTATAAGAAGCCGGATAAGCCCTAAGATGAGGCAAAGATCTGGTCGGAAGTTGGCGATTTCCGCTCCCTTTCGCATTCACGTTTCGGGTTTTGGGGTTTAGGGTCTGTAAAGACATCCTAGGTTTAGGGTATCAGTTTCTGTGTTAAGGGTCGTTGAAGGGATCCTAGGTCTGACAGGTGTTGTTAATCGGTGGGGTGTGCTTTTGCGGGGCCCTACAACCTAAACCCTAAACCCCTCCGCCCTTGCCCTTGTAGAGGGTTGGGTTCGAGGGGTCGTGGTCTGAGGGCTTAGGGTGTATCTCGATGTTAAACCCTACATCCAAACCCCTGAAGCCTAAGGCCTAAACATACACTCTAAGCCTAAACCCCTAAAGCCTAAACCCTAAATCCCTGAACCGAAAAGCCCTTAACCGAGAAACCCTAAACCTAAACCCTTAAACCCTAACCCGAAAAGCCCTAAACCCTGAGCTTTGGACCTGGTCACAAGGAAAGGAGCTAGCCAAGCTGGATGGTCAGATGCAGCAGCTGCGTCAGCTCCAAAGCGCGGCTCGGCCAGCCGGCGGCGAGAAGCCCTTAGGTGAGAGCGAGGCCCGGTTTGTGGTTTAGGATTTTTAGCGGGTTGGGGCTTAGGGTTGAGGATTTTGGGGTTAGGTTTAGGGTGTAGGCTTTAGGATTTATGGGATTTATAGGATTTACAGGATTTATAGGATTTATAGGATTTATAGTATTTATAGGATTTACAGGATTTATAGGATTTATAGGGGTTAAGGGCTTAGGGTTGAGGATTTTGTGGCTTAAGGGTTTTCGCTTGTAGGGTTGTGTTTATGGTTCCGTCAAAGGGGTTCCTTTAGGGGTTCGGGGTGCGGGTCTAGTTTGGGGTTTGGGGTACCCGAAGTCTGAAACTCTAATCCACTGTAGTTTCAAAACCCTAAACCCTAAACCCTAAACCCTAAACCCTAAACCGTTACCATTATAGGTCGCCTTGCGGAGGGCCTATATACCTTATGGAATCCTTTTTTTGGAAGCCCTATGTACCCTAAACTCCCCACCTAACCCTAAACCCTACACCCTGAACCCTAACCCCAAGAGTCCCTTTAAGGGTCCCTCCTTTAGTCCCTAAACTCCCCACCTGTAGTTTCCTTTAACTGTAGATCCCTCACAGAACCCCTGCAGAGCTCTTACGTCTTGGCTTGGAGGCTGTAGGAAATGCCAGTAGTGCCCTAAGGGCCTGGCAAGGTTTGGAAATCAGGTTTCGGGGACCCCTAAACCCTAAACCCCGAAACCCTAAACCCTAAAACCCTAAACCCTAAAACCCTAAACCGTTAAACGCTAAACCCTAAAACCCTAAACTAAATACTAGCTAGGCTGTTGGGATCAAGGCCAGGGGCTTAGAGTTAGCTTGGGGATTGGAATTTCTTGTTTCGGTCCGAGCCCTCAAACTTTCCAAAACCTCAAACCCCTAAAGCTCTAAACCCTTAACCCCTAAACCCCAAACCCTAAACCCTAAACCCCAAACCCTAAAACCCTAAAACTCCTAAACCCTAAACCCAAACCTATACAGCCTCGACCGGATGCATCGCATTGCAGGTGCTTAGGCTGGTCGGTGAGGTCTTGGCCGGCCCCGGGGTCAAAGCTCAGCCTCTTTCCTTGAGTCGTCTTACGGGTTCAGGGTTTAGGTTTTAGGGTGTAGGGTTTCTTCATGTAGAGGCCTTAATAGTTAGAATAGGGTTTTGAGTGTAAATTATCTTGTAGTTAAGGCCCCTATATTACGCGTTCTGGGGTTTAGGCTGTAGGGTTTGGGGTTGTTGGGGGCTGAAAACCGACACCCTAAACCCTAAACCCTAAACCCTATCGAACTTCGAAGCAGGTTTTGGTGCTGGCATTTGCAAGTTTTGGGGTTCCGAGTTATGAGTGCCATTGGGAGGGGGCGGGTGGCCTAATGTTTGTGTTAAAGAAGCCCTGAAAGGTCCATGTACCCAAATAATATAAGGTACCTTTAGGGGTTCCTTTAACTGGGTCCTTTAAGGGTTCTATGAGGGTTCTATGAGGGTACCATAAGGGTTTAGGGTTTAGGGTTTAAGGGTCCAGGTAACCAAACTGTATATACATTGGCCCCAAAGTACTTATATAGTGACTACTTTAAGGCCAAAGTATATCTATTTGGGCACGCGGACCCTCAGGGAAGTCTTACATAGCGTTGCAACTATAGTCCTGGTACGGCATTTAGGTGCCACTTGGGGTTCCGAACGCTTGTTTGCTATGCCACGCTTTAACACCCTTTAAATCGAGCTGGACACCCTACACCCAGGTTTACTCTCATCGTAGGACGGATCTAGGATCAGGGAGTGCGCCTTAGGGCGTGTTTCGCTTGACCCCAAATTTGAAGCTCGTGCAAAGTGTCAGGCAAAGAAACTGCCCCCCATCCGGGTGTGGGGCTGTCGGGGTGGGGGACCTTAATATAGAAGCCTAAATAATTACCTATGTTATTCCTTAGGGCTCTTTTTTTATATGCGAAGTATTAAAACCCTATTCTAATAGCCAAGGCCCCTACATTAAACCCTCAACCGTTCTCGGCCCCCGTAACCAAGGCAGCAAGAGATGCTCGGCCTGCATTAGTTGGCGGAGAGCAAAAAGGAAACCGGATTGCACTTCCTTGAGGCTCCAGCTACCTAAACAGTAGGGTTTAGGGTTTAGGGTTAGGGTTTAGGGTTTAGGTAGGTTTCTAACCATCAGAGTTTAAGTTTAAGTGTTGGGGTTGAGGGTTTGAGGTTTGAAAGCATTTACCCTAAACCCTGAACCCTATAAACCCTAGACCCGAAACCGCTTAAATCTAAACCCTAAACCCTTAACCCTACGCCCTAAACCGTTTAATATCGAGTTCAGAGCCTGTGGTCCATGCCATGGCATGTATATGTACATGGTCGGAGCCCTCTCCTCGCACAGTCTTGGCATGTACACGCAGTTTTCCCGCCCTCCGTTCAGCTCTCTGCTATGCTATTATGGATTTCAATCCCAGTCCACATCCATAGGTCTTGCGAGATTGCACTTCGCCCTGTGCATCATCGCATCGATGTTGCCATGTCGGAGGTGGGCGTACGCACTTTGAGGACTCTTGTGCCATACATACGCACACAGCTCATACCTTGAGCACCAAATGACCCTTAAAAGTAGGGGCATTATTCCAATATACTATGAATCCCTATATGGTTTCTGAACCTTAAACCCTTTTAGGGTTCATTTCGTCCCTAAGGTACCACAGTCCTACCGCTGACTAGGACCTCACACGATCCCTAAACCCTAAACTCTACCCACCCCATCCCATGCCACACACTTCTGCATGCTTCGATCTTTTAGGCCTGCTGTGTCGCTATGTATCCCCCTTGAAGGAAGCCTTGAAGGAGGTCTTATCTAGCGGAAAGGAGCCTCTAAATCTCTGACCCTGAGGGTCCATGTACCCAAATAGTATATACATTGGCCCCTAAGTACCTATATAGGGACTCCTTTAAGGCCAAAGTATATCTCTTTGGGTACATGGACCCTTAGGGTGAAGGCGCCGTTCTAGGCTCCAGACCAGTAGGTCTGAGCCTCAACGCCCGGAAGGCGCAATTCTCAAGTAGCCCCAGCGACAATCCTTTACTCTCCCATATAGTAACAGGGTTTAGGGTTTAGGGTTTAGGGTTTAGGGTTTAGGGGCTACATAACCATTATATCTGAAACCTAAGTACCTACTTCTTGGGTCCTTTGGACCCTTAGGGTTGCCGGAAATCAGAAGGCCATCATGTCATGAGAATCACGCGAGTATCAAGAAGCACGGCAAGCCTAATCCCGAAACCCTAGGTGTGTCTAAATCCGTTGGGGTGCTGCAGGGCCGCAGGACTTGACATGTCCTAACAGTCGAGGCAGCTTGCAGTTGAGCTTCGAATAGCAAAGGTTCCTTCATACCAAGGGGTTTCCAGCAACATCAGGGCTTAAGGTTTAGATCAGAACTGGCGAGTATCCGGAACATGGCGCTCCCACGCGAGATGTCCATCTGGCAACCTCAAAATGCCGGATAACCCCTAAACCCCCAAAACCCCTAAAACCCTAAAGCCCTAAACCCTAAACCCCTAAAATTCTGCAAAAGCTGGCGTCTCTAGGAGCCGGTATTGTGCTTCCTTAACCCGAAACCCTGCAGCCCTGAGCTCCACACCCTCCAATATAGAGTAGCGATGCTGGTCTTCTGTATTGATGCTGTTTCTGTAGTTTAGGGTTTAGGGTTTAGGGTTTAGGGTTTAGGGTTTAGGGTTTAGGGTAGTAGAATGATGGCCCTGTGTTAACCTATCCCTATGCCTAAGTGAAAGCCCGAACAGGTCTCAAAGGCCAGAGCTGCAGCTTCGGAGGAGTCGAAGCGGGCGAGGCAAGAACTAGGCAGGACTGGGGCGCAGTCAGATCTACCTTCCGAAATCAATGTACTCTGAACACGAAGAGCATGACTCCGCGAAACAAGATACTTCCTTGATTTAAGGACGTGGGTTACTCTCTAGGTGGCGGCAAAGGTTTAGGTGCCGACGACCTGACGGGCTGCTGATAATGATACGCCGGTATCTAACTAAAATTATTATTACTACTACTACTACTACTACGACGACGACGACGACTACTACCACGACGACGACGGCGACGACGACGACTATTAGGAGTACTACTGCTACTGCTAGTGCTTAATGCTGCCTACCTTCACGTTGACCCCAACCCCACTCCCCTAAACCCTAAACCGTTTAACCCTAAACCCTAAATCGTTTGACCCTAAACCCTAAACTCCGCTGTCAGCCGGTCAACTTCGGGCCGAGACGGAGGAGGTGGCGACAAACGCAGCGCCCCTCGGAACGCAAGCGCCCCTGGCTAATATAGGGGCCTAAGCAACTACCTATATTATTTTGGGCGGTTCCTTATTATCAATAATATACTATAGTGGGCCCGCAAACCCTGTTCTAATTATTTCGGCCCCTACATTAAAGCTGCAGTTAACGTGCGCCTGGGTTGCTTAGGGCACATAAGCTTTGGTGATGAACATGTTTTGGGAATATGACATTGTGTGCTATCGCCCTTGCTGCATTCAACAATGGTCAAACATATATGCACATGTATATACAATTGTACTTTGTGTGTATATATACAACACTGATACAACATTGATATAACATATTATATATATATATATATTCATATAACCATATGTGTATATGTATATGTATATGTGTATGCGTATGTGCACGTGTATGTGTATAATGTGATGTGTGTATGTGTGCTGCCCTAAGGGTCCATGTACCCAAATAGATATACTTTGGCCTTAAAGTAGTCCCTATATACTATCTGGGTACATGGACCCTCAGGGCTACATACATATGTACATACATGCATACATACATGCATACCTACATACACACATGCAGTTGCAAATATACGCGGGCATGTATGTGTATCTATATCTCTTTCTATATGTATATCTGTATCCCAGAGGGTCCGAGTACCCAAATATAAGTAAGGCTTTTGGTCCCGAAATCCACACTCTGAATGGTTTTTGGACCTTGAAACCCTACTATTTGGGCACTTGGAACCTTAGGGTATGTATATATACATGTTACATACGTAGAAGCTCAAGTTCGATGTGTGCTGCGGGCTGAACCAAGGGAAGAAGGCAAGGGAAAGGGTTTCGGCTTTCATGCACAGATCCTTAGGTCTTAGGGTTTAGGGTTCAGGGTTTAGGCTCTATAGGCGTTTAGGTTTTAGGGTTCAGGGTTTGCGGTTTGGAGGTTTAGGTTTTAGGGTTTATAGGGCTTTGGGTTTGGGGTTTTCTGAGCTTCGTGGTACCTTCTCCAGTTGTCCTGGCAACCAACATCCGGCTCTAAAGAGTTTGTAGTAGCATCCATGATTCTTGGCCAATTCCCACGTGGCCAAGCACGCATAGCACAGAGCACCAACAACATCCTTCCAGACCTGTGCGAGAAAACACTCAGACACGTAACCTTACCTGAAGAGCCTTAGAGACTAAAGTCTGCGCTGCTTGCGAACACGAGCCCCCCGAAAGCCAGAACCCCAAAGCCTATACTAGACCAAAGCGCGAAACTCCACAGGCTGACGTTCCAACTCGAAAGCCCGGTTTGGGGTCCAGGGTTTAGGGTAAATCCTACCTATAGTCTCCATTGTAGTTCCTTTTGGGGGTTACCTTATAGGATCCTTAATAATAGAATTTGTTAAACCAAGAAAAGGACAATGGAGACTATAGGTAGACCCTGAGTCCCCTATCCTGGATCCGCATATCCTCAAAGCCGCATGTCTTAAACCCCAATGTCTAGGGTTTAGGGTTTAGGGTTTAGGGTTCGAAGATCATGACCGGTACCCTTTCTCTAAGGCCGTATTTGGGCCCTCAAAGGGAGGGGGGTTATTCATCAGGGGTCGGCACAGAAGCAAAGTAGGTTTAATCAGATGTCACTGAGGCTAGTATTAAAGGGGGTTGTACCTCGACTTGCAACGTTAACACAGCCTAATGGAAGTAGTGACCTTAAACTCGACACACTAAACCCTGCAAGCCCTACCGTAAATCTTGCAGCCCGAACCGTGAAACCCTAAGCCGTGATGCAAACCAGGTCGAAGGCACGGAGATCGCTAGATGCAGAGATGAGAAATGCAGCTGACCTGAAAGGGAGTGTCTGTTTGCTTGCCCCCAAGAGGCGATGTACCCATGAAGCATATACTTTTGCCCTAAAGTACTTCTTGAGGGACTACTTTGAGGCCAAAGTATACAGTTTTGGGGGTCCATGGACCCTTCGGGTTAGTGTGTCTACATGGACCTAGGTGCCACAGTTGGCTGCAGTCCTGGTCATTAAACACATTTCTCGGTTTTTGGGTTGTGTATTGAGACTCAGCCGCTAACTGTTGTAATTATGCATGTGGTAAAGCAGGATTTATATCATCAACCGTAAGTCAAGAAGAGCATGCATTTCGACCCTGAGTGCTTGAACCCAAAGCCCAGATCAAACCAACAAGCCCGAAGCTGTACAGTAAACCCTGAAAGGGTTGATTTAGGGTTCAGGGTTCAGGGGTTTAGGATGGAGGGCTGCTATAAGGGATCCAGAGCTTGCAAGTGGGCCTGAGGCTTGGGGTTTAGAGCTTAGGAACCCCGCAACAAACACCAAACCCTTGACCCTTAACGCTGCAACCTAGGGTTGATGATATAATTCCTGCATTACCCATAATATAGTATGCCAGAATTCCCGTAGTTTATTGTCCTTAAGTTAGTGCAGGATTTATATCATCAGCCGTATGCCTCTAATCCTGTCAAGCCCCTCTACAACTTGCAATAGCTCGATAGAACCCTGTAATATCGGGGCCTATAGTCATACTGCGGTCTGCCCCAAAACCTTATTCCATTTACTTAGGCACCTACATACTACATATACCTTTATAGCATCCCCTAAAGGAACCCTCTCAAGACCCGAATTGTGAGCCCGAAAGAGCCCCTTAAAAGGCACCCTTTTCAGACTCCCAACCTAGCTTGTCCGTTGCTCCTCCCTAAAGCTTGGACCCTACGACCCTCAACCCTAAACCCTAAACCCTAAACCCTAAACCCGAAACCTAAACCCTTAGCTCTAAACCGGAAAGCCTCGGAACCTTCAACCCGAAACCGAGAAACCGAGAGGTTGTGGATGCACTGCGGAGGCAGCTGCTGGAAGCCATGGAGGCTCTACGATGGCCCCTACCTAAAGGATCATGGGACTTAGTAACTGGGGCTATAAATAAGGTAGCCATACTTCTAAACAACTATAGTCCCACTTAGGGTACTTATAATCTTACTTGCTGAGTACCATGATCCTCCAAGTAGGCTTTAAGGGAGGGCTCATACGGTTGATGATATAAATCCTGCAGTACCCATGATAAGGAATGTTCCATGATTCCCCTAGTTTAGGGTGCCTAAGGTAATGCTAATATTGTCCCCCTAAACCCTAAACCCTATTCCCCCACAGTTTAGGGTCCTTAAGGCAATGCAGGGTTTATACCATCAACACCCTAAACCCTAAACCTTAAACCCTAAACCCTAGACCTTGAACCCTGAACCTTAAACCCTAAATATCATCAACAGTAAGGCCTGCGGGCTTCAGGCTACCCCGGTGTGGTCGATTTAGGCTATGCGGATTGAGGCGTTGAGTTCGTAGGCTTGGAGGTTTGGTGCCTGGCCAAAGTATGTGTATGCACACATATAAACATTCATATATATATATATATATACGCATATGTAGATAAATCAGTAACGTTATAGAGAGAGAGAGGAAAAGCCACACGAGATAGAGAGAGAGACCCCCCCCCCACACACACACACGCACCCACACACACACCTCTACATCGTTGTGAATTTCCGAGAGAGCCATAGTTTATCCTGAGATCCGACAATCTAATATTCTGGCTCGAATCTTCTGTGCAAAGGAGCAGCTACCCCACTAGCTACTTAACAAGAACGCAGAACAGGAACCCCAGGGGTTCAGCGTGTAGAGGGCCGCAATCAAAACAGAATAGGGTCTTGGGGTATATATTATACTAGAATAATTACAACAAGGAACCCCCCCCCCAAACACTTGGCATTATTTAGCCCCCTATACTGCCGTAGAATAACAAAGCTGAAGAATCACCGGAAGGTGTGTGTGTGTGTGTGTGCAGTCCTATGACTCCCATAGATACTATGCCAATGCACGACTTGTGGGTGGGCCCATATTTCTCGGAATGAAGATCATGTTCGAACCAATTAAGGAACATGTGAAATATTCTGGCGTCCACCAAAGGCCTACCGCTAACAGCACGATGTACTATCTAAGATCGAAACGCATCTAATATGATGAAGCACCGAAGGACATGCTTCCTTAATTAATTCAGACCCTAATCAGGGCCGCAAAATCATCACTATGACTCCTCTCCCACCTGCTTCATAAAGCCCTCTCCTCCCGAGTATCAGCTGCAGCTCATATATCTCAGCTTGTCTCACAAAACCTGCTGGGCAGCTGCAGAGGCCCTGAACCCTTACCCCCCAAACCCCAAACCGCTTTCGGCGGGGTAAGATGCCGGCGTTGGGAACACGACATCTTTGTAAGTCGCCTCTCCTGCCAGCACCAGGGTCTGACAGAAAGACTCAAGAGGGTAGTTGTAAAAAAATTATGGTCCCTTTTGGGGTACCCTAAATAATAGGTGTCGTATTATAATAAGGACCCCAAAAAGGGACCATAATTTTGACAACCACTCAAGAGACGAACCGGTTGCAAGCCCGGACTTTGGGTCTGAGGTTTCGGGCTCCAGAGGGGCTAGAACATCTAATAGTGATTATAGGGTTTAGGGTTTAGGGTTTAGGGTTTAGGGGTTTAGGGGTTTAGGGTGTAGGGTGTAGGGATTAGTACTTAATATGGCTGCCTGCTGTTGAAGGTACTTTGCCAGATCTACTTTTGCAGTTTTTCCGGCACATGGCATGAGTCCTTGCATGTCAACAAGAAGAGCCCCCAGGCCATAAGGTTCTGGGTTCGACGTTTCGGCAGCTTCTTGAAGCTTGGCGCGATGCTTGCTAGCGTTGCCAGCAGTTCATCCGACAACCCCAACACATGACCTTGCATCCTTCGAGGAAGCTTAGGGTAGAGGCCTGGATAATCTGAACCGAAACAGGGTTCTGGGGTATGTCATGTCGTCATGATGACTATGGGGCCATCGCGTTAAGCCCTCCGTACTGGCATCTTCCTAAACCCTAAACCCTAAACCCTAAAACCTAAACTCTAAACCCTAAACCCCTAAACCCTAAACCCGAAACCCCTAAACCCTAAACCCTAAACCGCTAAACCCTAAACCGAGTTTCCGAGGAGCTCGGAGCAGTTTTTGTATTGCGAAGCTTTGATGGGACGACGAGGAAAAACGACGACGACAGCCTTGAGGCCTTGAAAGCAAACGATTTCTGCGGTTGAGTGTACCCAAACCCGCCAGGTGCCTACTTTCCAGGGTACTAGAGCCCAAAAACCCTATATAGTAGGTACCTGGAGGGTTCGGGGTAGGTTTATAGGGTTAGGGGTCCGGTCTAGAGTTTGAAGGTGGGCTTCGGAGGGGTGCGGGATTTGCGGTGGCTTTAGTTGGCATCAAGTCAGAATCAGGGTTTAGGGTTTTGGTCTAGGGTTTAGGGTTTAGGGCTTAGGGTTTAGGGTTTAGGGGTACAGGTAGGCCGACAGCAACCTAGGAGCACAGATGCCTATAAAAGCATGTTCCTGCTCGGTACAGCGTGCAAAAACCTTCTTGTGCCCAGGAACCAGGTAAACCACTGCATAGATACTGAGTGCGGCATATGAGCTCCGTCAAAAGCCTTGTTAAACGCCCTCATTAGTTACTCGCCCTTCTAAGCTACTGGGCTCTTCTTGGCATACGCGCCTGTGTTGTCTCTGACCGCAGCTCCCACCTGCTTCTTTTTCTCCAGGTATCGAGAGAATGGGGCAAAAATTAAAGTCTCCGGAAGCCCTGGTGGTTTAGGGTTGTAAGGTTATAGGGTTTTAGGATTTAGGGCTGTAGGGTTATAGGGTTTTAGGATTTAGGGTTTCCTAGGGCCGAGCTCCTTATGGTCGGCTGCTGCTAAGACGGGAAGAGGTTTGGGGCTTCGAGGTTTCGGTCTCCAGTCGCCGATGAGGTAGCTCGCTGTCTTTGGGCCTCGTATATAAGAGCCCTCCCTAAAATAGCCCTAAACCCTGCAGCCTAAACCCAGGGTGCAGGGTCAGGGCTTACAAAGTTTCTCTCCAGAGCTGTCATGCGAGTATATCATACAGCGTTGCAGCCGCACTTCTACAATGAAGTTTGGATCCTCTTCTCAAGGTGCCACATTTAGGGTTTAGGGTTGAGGCTTCAAGCGTTTGTACTTGGTGTTATCTGCAGGTTTTACAGCTTCTGCAAGGTTCGAGGCATTGTTGGGAATGCTGCAGGTTTCGGACCGTGGGCTTCAGATGTGCTCAACAGCATAATATGGGTAGTTCTCAAAATCAGGGTCCCTTTTTGGGTCCCCCATATAGTACGGCACCCTTATGAAAAGGACCCTAAAAGGGACCCTAATTTGGCAAACTACCCATATGCAGGACATCTGCATGGTCATGTAGAACGACAAGCTCGGCCCGGGTGTCTGCATACATAGTCGCGGTAAAAGTGTTCAGAGGCCGGCATGGCATCTTAACGACAAGTGCGAAAAGACTTCGTAGCAGTTCTCTCATGCTGTCATTGACGAGGGGCCTACTTAGAGTTTCTCGGAAAGCATCTATCTTCTTGGATGTGTTGCAGCCTGGCAGAAGCATCCGTCATCAATTCAGGTATACTGCTTCGATGTGGGGCATCTCTAAATCGAATGCCTAGGCCCACAAGCCGATCTGAAGTGATCCTGTCCCAAGCATACAAAACCAGTACAAAGTTGAAGCATATTAAGAATGTACAACAAAGGACCACCCACAACAGCAACAACCATATCGAACAGTAAACAACTTTGACAATCACCTCTTTCACCCTTGCTACCCTTATACCAGCCAGCCTTGAAATGCTTGGTGAAGAGGATAAAGTCCTGCTTTGAAGGTTATGCAAGCAACATCCAAAAGCACATGACTAGTTATACATGCAGCTCCCCTACGATGACCACCCACGCCATGGGAATATGACAAATAAGAAGCTTTTCCTTTATTAGTGGGCTTCGGCAGTTTGCATGTTGGTGTCTTGTGTAGAGGCTGGCAAGTCAAAAATGGATATGGGACATTCCTCCAACTATCGCATCGGGATCCCATCGCTTTTTGCCAGCAGCCTGCATAGCATACACCGAAAACATGGTCTAGTTCATCAGCCTGTGATAGACCCAAAATGCATCACGATTAAGCCAATGCATACATCCGCAGCATCTGTAAAGCCCTCGATTTCAACAATCTTAACGGCACAGGCAACTGTATTCCTACACCATTATTATCCGGATCTCAGGATATCTCTCAAACAGAACTGCCACACCTTGAACCCGAACGCCAAACCCTCTTTCTGGAACCCCAAACCTAATTACGGAATACGGAAAATATCATCCCCCATAACCCTGTATCACCTATCGAGCAATGTACACACGAGTTTTTTCGTGTATGACCAAACATACTACCGCTACCGCGTACACAGCATGTACGAAGAGGCCGCTCCAAAAACACTCTTCCGGTAAACCTTATGTCAAACAAAGCAAAGCCTCGTATAACCACCTGGACAGCACCCTAAGCAGGTCCTTCGGATTCCGATCGCCCTTGGTCTGGAGCTCTGTACTCTTTGCCGCTTTGTTTAGCTGCGGCTGCCTGGACTTGTGGTTGGCGGGGTCTGAAGCCCAAAAGGTTCAAGTACTAACATGGTAGCCACTTTGTAGGTATCGTATACACTATACTATAACTTGGACCCTTTGGGAAGGGTCTACCATGTGATATGGCTGGGAGCTTGAGAAAACCGGGAACCAGACTGTAAGATCTTCGTATCAAGACGCCCTAATGTAGGGGCCTAACTAATTACCAACACTATTTTGGGAGTTCCTTGTTATGACTATAGTATACTGGGCCCCAAAACCCTATTCTAATTATTAAGGCCCCTGTATTATCCTTACAGCAGCTCCCCGGATCTCACGTCGTCTCAACCCTAAACTTCAACCCTGACCCCCAAACCCTTGAGCCCTGAGCCCTG